CTCCTCCTCCTCCTCCTCCTTCTCCTCCTCCTCGTCTTCTTCTTCTTCGTCGTCGTCGTCATCGGTCATGGGGCCGGAACTCTGAGCTTTGGCGCTGTCCCTCTCAGCTCTTCAGCTTAAGGCCCACGTTCTACTGCTTGAGCCGCAGCGCCACTTCCTGTTTTCTGGTGGTTTACTGGAGATAAGAGTCTCACAGGCCGGGCGCTGGTGGCTCACACCTCTAATCCTAGCTACTCAGGAGACTAAGACCTGAGGATCAAGGTTCAAAGCCAGCCCAGGCAGGAAAGTCCGTAAGACTCTTATTTCTAATAAAACATTCAAAAACCAGAAGTGGCGCTGTGGCTCAAGCGGTAGAGTGCTCGCCTTGAGCTGAAGAGCACAGGGACAGCGGCGCCCAGGCACAAAGTTCAAGCCCCACGACCTACAAATAAAAAAATAAATTTAAAAAAAGGGGTCTCACAGATGTTCCTGCCCAGGCTGGCTTTGAAGCAAGATCCTCAGATCTCAGCCTCCTGAGTAGCTAGGATTACAGGCATGAGCCACCAGCGCCCAGCACAGCTCTCTTCTTGAACCATCTTTGAACAACTCCTGGGTCAGTATGCCAAGCGCATGGGGGACTGTGTCCTGTGTGGTCTGTTTGTTGGCCTCTCTCCTCTGGGCACTGATGGCCTGATCTGGTTTAAAGACCATGGTGTCTGGGTGTCTTGGCTCACACCTGAATTCTAGCTATTCAGGAGGCTGAGATCTGAGAATCTCCATTCAAAACTAGCTTGGGTAGGAAAGTCTGTGAGACTTTTTTTTTGGGCCAGTCCTGGGGCTTGAATTCAGGGCCTGGATACTTGTCTCTGAGCTTTCTTTTGCTCAAGGCTAACACTCTACCACTTGAGCCACGGCACCACTTCTGGCTTTCTTTTTGCTTTTTCTGGTTATGTGATACTGAGGAATCAAACTCGGGCTTCATGCATGCTAGGCAAGCCCTCTACCACTAAGCCACATTCCCAGCCCCTGGGAGACTCTATCTCCGATTAATTACCAAAAGCTGGCAGTAGAGCTGTGGCTCAAGTGGCAGAGTGCTAGCCTTGAGCAAAAAACCTAAGGGACAGAGTCCAGGCTGAGTTCAAGCTCCTAGATCCGGACACACACACACACACACACACACACACACACACACACACACACACACACACACACACACACACACACACACACACAGAGTAAAATAAAGGCCAGGGGGCTTTGGGAATGTTGTAAGGATGGGCAAGATCCTGAAGAACTCAACCTTCACCTCATAACCCCAGGTGCACCTGGATGTACCTGCCCCTGGGTGAAACATTCCCTTAGGGGTTTAACTACAAGTCCCACCTGTCCTCCATTTTCTTTACAGACTCCACCCCCATTAGAAAATTCACAGATAGAGCCCTCTTCCCCCATCTCGGGACTTCCAGATTCTGCCTTCTAACCTTCTCTTTGTTGTTGTTGATTGTGGGGCTTGAACTCAAGGCCTGGACACTGTCCCTAAGCTCTTGTACTGAGGCCTGGACACTGTCCCTAAGCTCTTGTACTGAGGCTAGCGCTCTACCACTTGGAGCCACAGCTCCACTTCCAGTTTTCTGGTGGTTCATTGGAGATAAGAGTCTCACAGATTTTCCTGCCTAGGCTGGCTTTGCGCCATGATCCTCAGATCTCAGCCTCCTGAGCAGCTAGGATTACAGGCGTGAGCATCCAGCTGACCTTTTCTTCTCCACGTGTGGCACCCCTCCAGAAAGGTCACCACGCAGAAATCCGCTTCATTGAGAGAATTCGGTCCATGGGCCTGGACCCCAGCCAAGACTACCAGATCACCTGTTACCTCACATGGAGCCCCTGCCTGGATTGTGCCTTCAAACTGGCTAAGCTCAAAAAAGACTTCCCGCGCCTGACTCTGAGGATCTTCACCTCCCGCCTGTACTTCCACTGGATCCGGAAGTTTCAGAAGGGGCTGCATCAGCTGTGGCTGTCAGGGGTGCTGGTGGCGATCATGGGCCTCCAAGGTAGGAGGGAGGGCTCAGTCTCCACAGGGCAGCTGGGGGCAGGTGGATGGGGTAGGGAGGAAGGATGGTAGTCCACATTAGACAGTGTGGCTGGGCACCAGTGGCTCAGGCCTATAACTCTAGCCCCTCAGGAGGCTGAGATCTGAGGATCAGTTTAAAGCCAGCCCAGGTAGACAAATCAGAGAGACTCTTCTCTCCAATTAACCAGCAAAATGCCAGAAATGGAGGTGTGGTGGGGTGCTGGTAGCTCATGCCTGTAATCCTAGCTACTCAGGAGACTGAGCTCTACAGATCATGTTTCAAAGCCAGCACCCACAGGGAAAACCCTTGAGACTCTCATGTCTTAATCAGCAGAAAAGCCGGAAATGGAGCTGTGGCTCAAGTGGTAGAGTACTAGTCTTTTACAAAGCCTAAAAAAGGGATGCCCCCCAAAGGGAGTGGGGAGGGCAAAGTGGGGAAAAAATGAGGGAGGGGTAAGTTGTTAGACTCGAACTCGAGACCCCCGAGCAGCAAAAGAGTCATTTATTTGCAAGCTCGAGCCTGGATTCACTATCGTCACCGACAGTGGGTCGGAGTTGTGAGCCCTGACCCCTTGTCCATCAGGGTTTTTATTGAGTATGTAGCAGGGGGAAGGATGTCTCAAGCTCATTGGTTAGGAATATGATCATTTCCGGTAAAGGCAGGGACTTTCTGGCTTAGCGGTTACAGGATAGGTTAAATCAGACATCATTGGTTGGGTAAGTGGGGCTAACCACAGGAATGCTGAATTATGTCTTGTCCTAAATCTTTTCTCAGCAGAGCTGGGGGGAGAGACTGCCCAAATTCCTGGACTGGTCAGGGCAGACTGATCCCTTAATAATTCTCACTGTGCTCTTGTCTTGGTGCAGGATCTAATACTTACTCTCCAGTAACAGATGACAAATGTTTTCGTTCTGTCTGAAAAGACTGCTAAACTTATTTTTGGTCTCTCACATTGTCCAAAAAGAAATGTATTCATCACCTGACTTATGTAACTGTAACCCCTCTGTTCATCACCTTTACCATAAACAAGAAAAAAAAAAATGACAGTACTACCGAAGGAAGGTTCCAGAGAGAAGAAGGCAGGAGGGAGACCTGGCCCGGGCTCCCTGGCCCTTGGGCCTCACTGGCTTTGTGGCTTCCTCCTCAGAGTTTACTGACTGCTGGAACAACTTTGTGAACCACCAGCAAAGAAGCTTCGCCCCCTGGGAGAAACTGGATGCGTACAGCAAGAACATACGAGAGAGGCTGGGCCGGATCCTGAGGGTGAGCAAGCCTCTGTCCCCACCGCCCTCCCTCCTGCCCTCCCTCCTGCCCTCGCTCCCAAGGCCTCTCCTCTTTCCATACCCTCTGCTGTCCCTCCCCCCACTTTTTTTTTTTGGTCATGGGGCTTGAACTCGGCCTGGGCGCTGTCCCTCAGCTCTTCAGCTCACGGTGAGCGCTCTACCACTTGAGCCACAGCATCACTTCCAGTTTTCTAGTGGTTTATTGGAGATAAGTCTCACGTCGTTTCCTGCCCGGGCTGGCTTTGGACCGCGATCCTCAGATCTCAGCCTCCTGAGTAGCTAGGATGACAGGCGTGAGCCGCCAGCACCCGGCCCTCTGCTGTCCCCTCTGCCAGCAGGAATTCCTAAGTCTCCCTCCTTTGCCTTTCCCTGCACGGTCTTGTCATCCTGCCCCCACTGTCCCACCCCACCCCTTGCCTCCCAACCCATGGCTCATCCTTTTTTCTTCTCTTCTCTCAACAGTCTTGGGGCTGTGGACCTACACCATCCTCAGGAGGGGATTCAAGGTGACCTTGGAACATCAGTGCCTCCCCCATTCCCCCCCCACCAGGCCCCTAGCCAAGACTGAAAGTCTTTCCTCCTACATTTCTTTTCTTTTGGTGTGTGTTCTGGAGCTTGAACTCAGGGCATGGGTGTTGTTCCAGAGCTTTTTTTTTTTTTTTTTGTCGGTTGTAGGGCCTGTGCGCTGTCCCTGAGCTCTTAACTTAAGGCAAGTACTCTACTATTTGAGTCACAGCGCCACTTCCAGTGTCTTGGTGTTTTATTGGAGAGGAGTCTCTTGCTCAGGCTGGCTTTCAACTGTGATTCTTTGATCTCAGCTGCCTGAGTAGCTAGGATTACAGGTGTGAGCCACGGTGGCTCATTTCCAGCTTTCTACTGGTTCATTGGAGATAGGTCTCACAGACTTATCTGGTGGTCAGGCTTCAAGCCACAATCCTCAGAGCTCAAGCCTCCTGAGTAGCTTGAATTGTAAGTATGAGTCACCAATGCCCAGTTGTAAGTAGGTAAATAATGTTATAATTGAAAAAAAATTAAGGTGATTTTTTTTTTTCTTAGTTGGCCAGGGGGCTTGAAGTCAGGGCCTAGGTGCTGTTCCTGAGCTCTTTGACTTAAGGCTATCACTCTACCACTTTGAGCCACTGCCCCACTTCCAGTTTTCTGGTGGTTATTGGAGGGAAGAGTCTGACTTTCCCTGCCCAGGCTGGCTTGGATGGCAGTTCTCAGAACTCTGCCTCCTGAGTAGCTAGCATAATAGGTGTGAGCCGCCAGCGCTGGCCTAGGTGATCTTAAACATCTAAACTCTGCTGAGCCCTGGAGGACTGCGGTGTAGAGTCAGTCCAGGCAGAACAATAGTCTGGAGGAAACAGAAACGGGAGGGGAGGCCATCAGACAAGTTCGGTGTGTGGGCACCAGAAACGCCACCTCAGTGGTGTAGCTCAGGGCTGGCCCCATGCCCGTTCTGTCATGTGCTGCATGAACCGTGGGGTCTCACGTAGGGGCAAAGTGTGTTTGGAAGAGTCTTAGTTGCCCTGGAAAGCAGGGTCTGGGTGACCTGTCCTGTCAAAGATCTTGTCCACAAAAGCTGCAGACGCTGGGCCCAGGTCCCAGACTGCTTCAGGAGCGTGGAGCTTCTCCCTCAGTCAGAAGCAGAGATCAAATGCCCGAGAACGTCTTAAAATCGTCTTTAATGTATTTGTAATAATTTTTGCCTCGTTTACCAGATAAATCATCTAAATAAATAGATGCTATACAGTCTCTTACCAATATCAGTACAAAAATAAACCGTGCTCTGCGCTCGCGACCCCCTCCCCCAGGGCAGGCCCGGGCCCCACCCCCAAATACATTCATGTAGTCTAAGCTCGGAGCTCACTGTGCAAGGAAGCGTCTTGTGCTGAGACCGGCGGCCGCACCACCACTTATAAAGCAGAACTGTACAGAGCACAGTGGCTTGGCCTCCCTGGAGCGGAGGCGGAGGAACTTGGCAATGGAGTCACCGTCCTGAGAACCACGGAGCCCAGGGCTGGGCCACGCACTGCAAGTGACCCCTCCTCTAGTCCACCCCTCGGTAAGAGCCAAGTACCAGCGCAGCCTCTACATTCAAGGGGGGGAAGGGGTGGGCAGGCAGTCGGGCGGCTGCCGGCCCCCTTCCCATCCAAGTACTGGCCTTGTAGGGGCTATGGAGAGGGGGGTCACCATCCACCTGGCCTGAGCTGGGGCCTTGCTGGGGTCTGAGCAGCCACTGGGTCCTGGGCTGGAAAAGCCGCCTCTGGAGAGCGGGCCCAGCCTGTGCCACGGATTCCCGTGAGCCAGAAAGACAGGAAAAACACATTCTGCTGCTGCAGCAGACAGAAAACAGCTGCCCACCCGCTCGCACAGGACCCAGATGGAGGGGCCCAGAAAGGGCTGGGGGTGGGAGTGTGGTTTCCACTGGAAGCTGCCTGTGTCCTCAAGCCCCGAAGTGGGGAGACACACTCAATCTACTTGAGATCCTGCTCTGAGGAGCCCTGAGCTGCAGGGGCCCCCCGAGCAGGCAGAGGCCCCCCCTTGCCCGCTCTTCTGTTCTCCATCTGACCTCTGGGGCTGGGGGCGGGCGATGAGGCTGTCCCCCAATGGAAGCACTGAATTGACCCTGGACAACTAGAGACTAAGGAAAAAGGGGAGCCCCAGGAGTTTGAAGGTCTTGCTAACGGCATCCCAAACACAATGGGTGCAGGCGCTCTTTGGTTTGGGAACTGAAGAGGGGAGAAGTTGCCCTGGCCTTGGGCCCCACATTCTGCTGGCTTTCCTGGGGACACAGCAGTCAGGGGACAGTGCTGGGCCCCCAGCCATAGTGTCCAGTCCACCTGGACGCCGATGGTGGGGGGACCGGCCTCCCTGCTCCCCTGGGCCCTCACCCATCTGCGTTTTTGCCCCCACAGGATTGGGGTAGGAGTCCTTCCCGCCAGCCGGCACAGCAGCACCGCTCCTGGCAGACGCAAGCCTGGCCCACCACACACAGTGACTCCACCTCCACAGGGGACAAGGTGGCATTCAGGTTGCCTGAGGGACACAGAAGGGGGGGAGGAGGGGTCCAGGAGATGAGGGCTGCCCTGAGAACTGGTGGCCACCTCCCCCACCCCCCGGGGGTGCTGAGCCACAGGGGAGGGCAGGAAGCGAGGGGGGCTGGAAGAGCTGAGCCGGGAAGGACAGGACCCTGTGGAAAGACAGGTCCTGCTGTCTCAGAAGCCACACACGTGTAGTGGCACTGGTGGCCTGGCCAGATCTGCATGCTGGAGCCTAGGAGGCCTCCACGCCCGGACCCTGGGCTCTGAGCAAGCAGAGCTGGCAGATCCCGTCATGGGACGCGCATGCAAGGTGGAGAGAGGGGCTCCGTGGCAAGTTTGCGTGTGCCGAGTCGCCCTGTGTTCTCGGCAGCTTCTGAAGGAGGCGGGCACGGGTGTGCGGCTGGACATACGCGTGGGCGCTTCCATGCCCGCTGGGGAGGAGGGGCTCAGCGGGCAGCCTGCTCTCAGAAGGGCAGAAGCCTCTGGAGGATCAGGACCCTGCCTGGCCATCTCAAGGCCTCCATCTGATCCTGTCCTTGGAGATCAAAGCAGCCTCCAGTTCCACCATACAGCCCGAGCAGACAGGGAGGTTCGGGTGATGTTAGCATGCCAGCCGCCAGGCGGGGCTGGGCCGGGGGCTCTCCAGGCCCGCTGTCTCCATCCCTCACCGAGAAAGGTTGGGTGGTGGGAGGGTTGTGTGTGGGGGGTCTTCTTTTCCACTGAAATATCACCCTGCCCCAGCCCCTCCTGGTCTCTGGGGTCCCCCACCCCACACCCCAGAGAACAGTTGAGGAAGAGTGGGAGCCTGGGTCACAGCTTCCTGCCACGGTCTCGGAAGAAGCCCTCAGCTGCCTGGGCCTCACGGAAGGTGACAGTGACCGAGTTGGCGGTGATGTCTGTCACGGTCACTTCGCTTGAGGGGAGTGCAGGTGTCCAGGATGGGGGCCCATCAGCCAGGTCTGCATCTGCTGCAGCCACGGACAAAGACACAGAGGGCAACAGGCTGACCCCAGGCAGCACGCTGCCCCTCCCGCCCGCGCTGGCTCCTGGGCAGCTCTGGCTCAGTGAGTCCAGTGTGATCCCCCTCCCCCGCCCCCTCCCCCTGGCTGGGCTGGGGGGACCCGAGGGCACGGGCTGCCTTACCCTCCTCCTCAGGGGGCTGCTCCTCAGGCTCCCACTGGCCGGCCGCCTGCAGGGCGTCTGGGGCTGGCGAGTCCTGCGGGGAGAGCTCCTGTCCGTGGCTGTGACTTTCCAGGTAGGACCCGCGGGGCGGGAACTTCTTTCGTGACAGCCGCAGGTACTTGTGGGCCTGGCCCGGCTTGCAGAGCGGGAAGGGCAGGGCGGGCACCAAGGGGCCCTTGTCCACCAGCTTGGGTGTCCCCGCCTTGACCACCCCCTTGGGGCTCCCGCTGCCGAGCGGGCAGGTCAGGGAGAAGCAGAGCTTCTCCTTGCCCTTGGCCTTGTGTGAGCTCCGCAGGTCCATACTGTACAGCCGCTGCGGGGGGAAGCCAGGGCACCGTGGGTCAGCCCGGCCCGCTGCAGCTGCGGCGTCTCCGCTCGTGCGGTCCCCCCCACAACTCAGCCCCACGGTTCAGGCTCAGAGCCTGCCTGCCACTCATCCCCAGCCCCCCTCCCCCGCTCCCCTCCCACCCCCGCAGCTTGGCCACCTGCTTGGTGCCTAAATTGTAGCCCCATCACCCCATGGCCAGGGGCATGGCTCAGGCCAGAGCACCTGCCTGGCTGGTGTAAGGCCCTGGGTTCCATCTCCTGATCAGCATTTAGAGTAAGAATCTGACTTTCTGAAGCCAAGTGAGGAATCACCCTGCACTGCAGAGAAGCAAAGAGCTGAACCACAGCAGAGCTGCAGCAAGGTGAACGGCCCTCAGCAGCCCTGGACAGAGCCGAGACAAGAGCGCGCCAGCAGCCACCACCCAACCCTCTTCTCCAAGGTGGGCCTGCAGCTCTGCCATCTGGGATCTGGGATCTGACTGACTCTGGGGACAATCTGTATGACTATAGGATCCAAAATGTCCAGACCCGGGGAGCTCCTGTGTCACTGTGGGACAGCACCTTCCACTGCCACCTGTCACCCAAGAGTGCTCTGATGGACCTGAGGCCACATCCCTAACCTGGAGGCCCCCAGGGTGTGGGTGGCAGGCTCAGAACCTGCCCCCAATGGCTCTGTGTGTGCCCCAGAGCAGAGCTGGAGCCTCTCCCCAGAGCAACCTGGGCAAACTCCAGCCCCCCTGAGCTTCTTGCTGTCTCCCAAAGCAGGGAGACTAGCAGTGGCTCACATGGAGCTGTGCTGGGCACTTACTTCCAGGCTGGCTCCTTGATCTTCCCACGGGTAAGGGAATGGCCACATAGAGAGGACATATATAACAATTCTATCGGGCTCCCCAACACCCTGGCTGTAACCAGAACTAGGGCTGAGGGGTGGGGGGTCAGTGGTGTGAGGCCCTGAGTTCAAACCTCAGTACTGGCAGGTGAGGTGGGTAGGGGAGAGGTATTCCTAAGTGGAGGGCCCTGGGCACGTGGCACAGCAGGCCACGTGTCCATGTAGCCACGCACCGTGAAGAGGCCACACCCCCATGCCCTCACAGGGCTACTCGGGATGCTCAGTAACCCAGCTCGGCCTTGTTGCACATCAAAGCCCCCCATGCCTTGGCCTCAAGCACCAGCTGGGCCCCATGAGCTGTCCAGGAGAGCACAGACTACTGTGACCCAGGACAGGGCCAAAACCCCAGCTCAGAAACCTGCACTCCCTTTTGAGGCCCCCAACACCAGGTGTCTCTGGGGACTGGAACTGGGGGCGGGGAGGGGCTCCACAGGTTTCTTCCCACTCGCCAAGGCCAGGCTTCTGAGGGTGGGCCAGCCCAAAGCTCTACTCCAGAATCTGGCGTCTCCCGAGCTCCCTCAGCTCTCGAGTGTTGTTTCTCAAGTTCTGGAATATTGCAGTTTTGTGTTCGGGGACTTTGAATATCACAAAGCCTCAGTCACAAGATTGCAAGCTGTCAACCCCTTCACAAATGTGCCCTTCCTGCTGCCAGTGCCTCTCCTGGGGCTGCCAGCCCCAGGCTCCAGCCAACATTTGGCCTTTGCTGGCCCTTCCCTGGGGCGGTGCCCTCGAGTGTCCCGCCCTGCAGTGCCCAGGTATGTGTGTATGTGTGTGGGGGGGGGTTCAGCAGGAGTGCATGCTCATGCAGGGCAGGGCGGAGGAGGGAAGAGGCCCCACAGTAGTGGGGTTACCTGCAGCAGAAGCCGCTTGGGCTTCGGGCCTCTCTTCCTATACCCCGACGCTCGGTCTCTCTCCTCCCTGGGGTTGCAAAGCAGGTGGCAAAAGAAAAGGAAACACTGCTGACATCTACGGGGAGGCAAGGTATCCCCACCAAGGCCACCCCCAGCCTCTCCACTGCTCCCTTGGGACCTAGGGTCCTCATGGAGCCCAGACCATGCAGGCCCCGCCCCCCCGGAATAGAGTTCAGTTTCTACTCTTAGGAGAGTTGCACAGAACTCTATGAACCCCACTCCCTGACTCTTGGGGGAGCTGGTGAGAGCAGAGGGTCCCTGCATCAGGGATCCCTAGGAACCAGAAGAGGAAAAATCTGCCTCAACTGTACCAACTGGCTGGGCAGCATGGGGCGTGGCCAGTATCAGTGCCCAGCAGATACCTGGCTCTGCGGGGTGCCTTTCCCACAGAGGAACACATGCACACCACACCTCCGTGGGACAACACAACCGCGGACTCAGGGCAACAGGGCTCAAGCGGCGGGAGAGATCAGGGCCTTCACTGTGCCTCAGTTCCCTCTGCTTACAAATCCACAGCCCCCACCACACAGTCCCAGGAGCAGCGAATGAAGGACCCAGGCTTTCCCCCTATCCCCCAATGGCTGGGTGACCCTAGGCCAGGCTGTTGGGGCTCAGCCCGGGCATCAAGGCTAGAGCTAGGTCAGATATTGGTCTTCTAGGCAGCAGAGAAGGGAAGATGTTTCTTCATCTACATCAAGCTCTTCGCCCTGTCTCAGATGGCCCAAGTGTCACAGACCCAGGGCTCTGTGACCCAGCCCCTCAGGATATGCAGAGGCCCGGCTTGCAGTCCACACCCGCTCCAGGCCTCAGCTGACCTCATCAGAGGTCCCGTCCTTCATGGGAATCTCCAGGGACTCTGACCTGCACCAGCAGAGTTGCTGCCACCGCCAGTGGCACCTCTGTGGACACCACGGCTTTCACATTCCTCAGGGGAACTCAAGCCCATGCCAGGGGCAGAGTGCTACAGACAGAAATGGAGGCCACAGCCAACAGCACAGGAAAGGGGCCTGGGGTCCTAGGTGCCACCCTTTTCCTCTGGCTGCAGAGCAGGCTGGACTATGCCATCAGATGCCCCGTCCTGCCCTCCGGCCAGGCCAGGCCCAGCAGCAGACCGAGGGCGCTTACTTCTCCTCGTAGGCCATGACGAGGCGAGGGTCCAGGATGTGTTCCTCCGGCTCCCACGTGCTGTACCTGGGGAGAGGGAGAAGGGTCAGGGCTTCCCTGCCTCCACCTGGCGCTCCCAAGGTTGTGGCTGCTGGGTCAGGGCCGAGAGCCACCGGCCTTGGCTCTGCCAGTAAGGTGTGACTGACCAATGCCGAGGGGCAAGCCTATGCCAGCTGGGCTCCAATGATGTCAGAATTCTCCTTCGCCCACACACCCCAGTCCACGGAGCCCTGCTACAAATTATAGACACCACATCCACGCCGGGCGCTTGGGTTCCTGCGTGGCCTGGGACAACCACAGCCAGGGCCGAACCCCAGCCCTGCCCTCAGCTTGCTGTGCAACCCTCAGCCACCTCCTCCACAGCTCTGTGCGCCAGCGTCCGCATGTGTAAGACTGGTGTGGATAGAGCCTAGCAACTGAGCGCTCGGGCAGCGCCTGGTTGGGACAGTGCTCTGGTGTTCTCCTGTTTTGATGGGTGCTCAGCCTCCACCGTGGGGGGCAGCTCCCTCTACCCCAGCACACTGGGCCACTGGGGCCAGGCTCTGGGCCTGGTCCACAACTGGCATCTGATAAACACTGGCTATAGAAGCCATGCAGTGGTGCAGGATTCCTCTGTCTGTCCCCAAGTGCTTCCACATCTGTCCATCACCACCCCAGACCACAGGACACAGAGGGCAGAGCTGGGGTAGCAGCGAGCACTTCGACCCCTCCCCTCCCTCTCCTCACACCTGCGCACTGGCTAACTCATGGGAGAGTAAGCTACTCTCAGGGTCTGAAAGCAGCTGGGGTGGGACGGGGTGGGGCTTGGCATTGGGACTTGAACTCAGGGCCTAAGTGTCCCTTAGATTTTCTTTTTCCCTAAAATTTTGACTTTTAGAAACTTTCCCGCTTGGCTGGCTTCAAAACTCGATCCTTAGCTCTCAGCCTCTGAAGTAGCTAGGACTAATGGAGAAAGCCACTGGCACCCAGAAACAGCTCTTTTCGAGACAGGGTCTTGTCACATACCAGGCCTGCAGGGACCTCTCATCCTCCCTCCTCAACCTCCAGAGTACTGGATTACAGGTGTGCACCTCTATACCTGACTCAAGCAGCTCACATGTTGTGTCTAAATAATTTCATTTAAAAAGTACACTTTTCCAAAAATGGAAAAAAAACAGTATTGCTATGAACAGATGCAAATACAATATCTACTTTTTGTGCTGATCCCAGGGCTTCCACTCGGCGGCTAGGTGCTGTCTCTGAGCTTTTGTGCTCAAGGCTGGTGCTTTACCCACGTTAAGCCACAGCTCCATTTCCAGCTTCCTGGTAATTAACTGGAGATGAGAGACTCGTGGATTTGCCTGGGCTGGTTTTGAACCTTTATCCTCAGACCTCAGCGAGTAGTTAGGATTACAAACAGGACAGAGTCACCGGCCCCTGGCAAGTGCAATATTTTTAAATAAAAAATGCAAAGTACAACCTATCTATGCACGGATTGCGGGAGTATGTGCTTACACACTCGGACGCACGACACGTGTGCGCACACCAAGGCACGGGTGGCAGCGGGGCAGGCGGCGCCCCGAGATGCACGCTGCCCCCGCAGCCGTCCACTCACCCAGGAGCCGGGGCGGGTGCAGCCGAGCTGCAGAAAGCCACCCCGCCACACTAGGGGCCTCGGCCCCACCCGCCCCTCCGGCCTGGGGCAGGGGCGGCCCCGCCAGGCACTCGCCTCGCCCTCCCCGTTCTCCGGGGAGGTGGGTTTCTAAGTCACCCCACTTCACAGATGAAGAAACTGAGGCACGGAGCTCGGGCGCTGTGCCCTGGTTTAACCTCGGCCATCCACGTCGGACCGAGTTCCAGGTCCCGGGCGGGTCCTCCCGGGGTCCCCGGGGTCCGACCCGGGCCTGGCACCGCCCCTAGCCACGGGACCCCCCGCAGCTGCGACCCCCAGGCTCGCCGCGGGCGCGCCCCGGCCGGGCGCGGTCTCCGCCGGGCTCTGAAACGCCCTCCGCGGGAGCGAGCGCTCCGAGCCCCGCCCCCGCCCCGGCGGCGGCGCGCACGCACGCACGGAGGGCGCGCGCCGGGACGCCGCACGCCAGCGGGGGCGGGGCGCGCGCCGGCTGGAGATAAACACGGCCACGTGACCGCCGCCCCGCCCCGCCGCCCCGCCCCCACCCGGGTAAACAAGCTGCGGCCGCCGCGCCCCGACCGGCCGCGCAGGCTCCCGCCGCCGGGACGGACGGGACGGGGGCGGGGACGCGGCCGCCCCGCTCCGCTCCGCAGCGCCGGGAGCTGCACCTGGCCGCGCCCAGGCCCAGGCTGCAGCTGCGGGCCTTGAGCCCGTCGGCCTCACCTCTCTGGGGCCTCGTCCGGTGATCCCTTCCCTCCCTTCCCATAGGGTTGCGTGGAGCGCAGACGCTAAGCCACTAGACGCACTTAGCTCGGCGTGCGCGGCGCGTAAGAAAGGCAAACAAGCGGAAACAATTTCGGAAACCTAGAGTGCAGAAGCTTTGTCCCTGGCCTGGCGTCGAGGACTTGGCTCAGGCCATCCTCAGCAGGGCTTCAGCTTACAGATGGAGAAATGAAGACCCAGAGAGGTTGAGGTCTTTGCCTGGGGTCACACAGCTGGCATCCATATACATGCAGAGTTCGAAGGCAGGGTGCTCAGACCCTGGTCTGCGCACATCCAGTGGACCAAAAAATGACCAACGGGCAGGAAGGAGACTGCTGGTCCCCTCTGGTGGAGTAAGCTGCATGCCACGGCATAGTTCAAGTCTTCCCTGGCACCGGCTCTTTCCCACCGCGGACCTCTGTCTTCCCATCTGTACATGGGCCAATGCCTGGCTTGTGGGGAGGCTTACTGATCGGCAGCTTAGTTACTACTGTCCCAATGATAAGCATTACTAAAGCTCTACGAACCAGGTCTGCTAGAAGAATGAGGCCACAATCACAGTGGACAAAAGGTGTTCTCAACCGGGGGTGAGGGGCTGGGGGTGGGGTTGTAGGAGGGCTCTGGAAAGGAGGAACTGAAAGTGGGGTACTTGGGGTCTTTGAGACCTAGGCCACCTACAGCTGATAACATTGTAACGCCTTGTGGCCCAGCCCCTCTTGCGCCATCTGTGGTGACTTCCAGAAGGTAGCCCTGTGCCACTTCTACTGGAGCGAGGGAAGTCAGTCATTTGCCTACTGTTGCAGAAAGAAAATGGGCAATACTTGCACAGCATCCTGGCTCCAGAGTGTTATTTCTAATCACAGCTACTGTGTTGTGATTACTAGATGTCTTCCTGGCTAGAGGAAGAGTGTTGCTGAGCAGGACAATTGGCCCCCTGCCCAAGCTGGCACTGCCCAGCCAAGGCTCCCAGCCTAGCAGAGCAGCCTGACAACAAGGCTCCCTGGGGTGGGAGGCCGGATGCAGGGGCCCAGGCTCTCCCCACCACACACACACACAACATCTGTCTCCCCAAGCAAGGTCTGGTACAGCCGCTGCAACTGCCTCATGCAGATGGCATTGTGGATGGCAAGAGTGGGCACTGCACTGCACGCGGTTAGTAGCTACATCCTTGTGATGACCTCCCCTCTTTGGGCCTCAATGTCTCCACCTGGAAAGACTACAGGAACGTTATTCCTTTTTTTTTTCTTTTTCTTTTGTGACAGTACCAGGGCTTGAACGCAGGATCTTGCTCTCTTGCTGAGCTATTAATTGGAGGTAAGTGAGCCACTGGCACCCAGCAGAGGACATTAGAATAACTAAGGAGGTTTTGAGATCCAGTTTGGAAGTGCAATCCCTTAGCTTCAGTCCCCAGTGTGGGGCAAACGAACAGGAAAACAAGCCTAGAGGCCAGCCAGCCCCTGCACCCACAGCCTGCACATTCACACAAGAGCTCAGGCTCCGCAAATCCAGCCTACAACCTCACAACAACCTGCAAAGGAAGGGTTCCCTACTGCAACTCAAAGACCAGGAGGAAGAAGCCCAGACATCTGGGGGTCTAGGCAGGGGCTAACAGCTGACCTGGCCTGGAATCTAGGGAGCAACTTGGGAGCAGGCAGAAGGAAGACCCACATTATCCGGTCAGATGGCTCCCAGGACCTCATCTGTCAGAAGGGCCCACCTGGTGGTCTCAGCATTTTAACAGAAAGAAGCACGCACGCAGACCAGGGTGTGCACAGACACAGAAGGGCTCGGAGGACTTCAGCTCCTGGCTGGTGCTCCCTCCCTCCTTGGCCAGCAGATGCGGACTGGTCCAGGGTTTCCAGGTGACCAGCCCCCCAAGAGGCCAAGGGATGGAGTGAGGCCCCCTCCCAGGTGCTGTCTGGGTCCCTACTGGCCACCATGCTGCCATCAGGATGCCAGGGGTTCACCTGGAACCCGTGCCCAGGACCACCAAGCCCGCCTTACAGAGAGGGAGGCCAAGTGGTGCTCATGCTCAGGGCTGTCTTTCCCACCATGCCCACAGAGCACCTTAGAACTCAATCCTAGGTCAGCCCCTCGCCCCACTCCAGAAGAGAGAAGCCCCAGCACTGATACACAGCAAGGCAGGGGCGGCTTCCAGGAGCCAGTCTCTGGGAAGGGGGGGGCAGGGCACCCACATACCAACGGATTAGTTCGTCCCCACCCTGACAGACAGCTCTTCCTAGGGAGGTGACGGGTTTGAGCCAGAATCCCTGAGTGGGTAGAAGAGGCGGGGCAGCTGGGAGAGGTCTTAGCTCAGATCCTCAACTCTGGGATGGGAGTTTAGGGAAGCCAAAGAGAAGAGGCTTGAAAATGGGAAGACTTAGTTCAAGTTCCCAGTTCTGCCTCCATGCTGGGTAACATGAGGCAAGTTGCTTACCCTCTCGGAGCCTGTGTGCTCATCTTGAGAGGTTCAGTCACATCACGAGGCTGTCTTGACTGGCAACTTACCCTGTAGACTGGGAAGTGCCACCCAGTGGCTCTGCCTCTCCAGACAGGGCACTGGAACTTGCAGTCTCCTCACCCAGCGCTGGACCTGCTGCACCTTGAGACCCTTGTACCTGGCCAGCAGCCGTTGCTGAAGCCAGGTCTTCACTCACGGCGGGGAGAAGCAGTTGGGGGAAGGGAGGAGGCAGTTGGAGTGGAAGAGGCTGGACACCCACACATGCCAGCCTGTGTTCAAACCTCCGTGGGCAGAGGGGAAACTGAGGCCCATTGAAGCCGATCATCTAGTCTGGGTCAGCTGTCCGAGCTGGAACTTTTTAAAGCTAGGCTTGGGAGGGGTGGACAGACACACACACAGGAGCCTTACTTGGGGGGCCATCCTTTCCACTTCACCAGGTATTCCACCTTGCCCTGTGAAGAGAGGGAATGGACACAGTGAGACACATGCTTGTCCCTGCCCCCCCCTCCCCCCCCCCCCCCCCCACCCGGCCATCTGCAGCGCAGACTTCCCCAAACGCTGGCTGCGTATCACCGCCTCAACAGACAGCAAGCACATCTGGACAGCACTGTGAGGCCCAACTTCAGAGCCTGGAGAAACTGAGGCCACATGTACATAGACATGTGTGCAGTCTCAGAGCCAAGGCCACACCTCTTCCTTTGGTGTGTGTGTGTGTGTGTGTGTGTGTGTGTGTGTGTGTGTGTGTGTGTGTGTGTGTGTGTGTGTGTGTGTGTGTGTGTGTGTGTGTGTGTCAGAGAGAGACAATACTGGGTCTTAACTCAGGGCCATGAGTTCTGTGTTTTGGTTTTTTCAAAGATTCTAGCTCCACTTCTTGCTTCTTGGTGGTCAGTTGGGAGTCTCACAGACTTTCAAGCCAGGGCTGACCACAGCAATCCTCAAATCTTAGCCTCCTGAGTAGCCTGGCTTACAGGTAGGAGCCACCAGCGCCCAGCTTCCTCTTAGCATCCTAAGACATTCCCCACAGTTCCAGTCCCCGCAGCTGGCTGAGGCTCAGCAGGCCAGCAGTACACACTTGGAAAGACCGGGAAGGACCCTGGAGGAGGCCGGTCAGCCTCCAGTTTAGGTCAGCCCTGCCCCGGGCGGTGGATGAAGCCCCTCTTCACCAGACCTTTGAGATCGGACATGACACCTCCTTCAGAGACCGCTTCCCTCCTACCTAGCACCTGAGCTCTCCCCACAAAACACAGCCCAGCCAAGGCATCTATTTCCTCCTCATTCATCCAGAGTCTGCAGCCGCCCCCTGCCCCCTGGCCCCTGCCCCCAGGGGAGGGAGGGAGGGAGGGGGGCCCCGGCTCAGGACGCGGCTCTAACACTCCAGGAGGTGGCTGAGTCCTCCCCGCAGAGCCGTCGGGGGCCGCGGTGGGGACCGGCTTCAGGCCGCTGGCCACCGGGAGCCGGAGCTGTTCGGACTCAATTAATCCTCTGTAAGCAGGAGGACTCGCTCCCTGGGGGAAGGGAGCTGAAGGTCGGAGCTCCAGCCGGAAGACAGAGCCCCCAGGCGGCGTCGGGGAAGGAAGAAGTTGCTGAGGATCCTCGGCCCGGGACGCGGAGGGGAGCCGACGGGCACCGGCCAGCCCCGCGCTCCGCCTCTGCCCGCGTGGGGCCCGCGTGGACCTCCGGCCGGGCACTCGCCACCCCACCGGCCTCCCCGGGAGCGCCGGGGAGGGGACGCGGGGCGACGCGCCCGGCCAGGGGCCCGGGCGGGCACTGCTCCCCACGATCGTGCCCGGTCCCGGCGCGGGGCCGCCCCGCAGGCTCGCGGGGTGCGGAGGGCGGGGGGGCGGAGCCCGGGGATGCCGGGCGCGGGCGGCGGCCGGGGGAGGGGAGCGGCGCCCCGGAGAATCGGGGTGTGCACTGCGGGGGGGGGGGCAGGGATCCGAGAGGCCAAAGTCCGGCGGAAAAACTTGCGAGGCGCGGGGGAGACTTTCCCCAGGTCCCGCCTCCAACTTCTTCAAAGGACTTGGTCCTGAGGTTCGAGGCTCAGCGCCGCCACTCACGCAGGGGGCGGGCGAGTTGTGTCCTCGACCTGGGCCTCAGTTTCCCCACGCCTAGGGGAGGAGGTGGGGGGCGAGCCGGGACGGCGCTCGGGGTCCCCGCGGGCCCATCCCCGTCCCAACTCTCCCGTGGCCCCGGAGGCCCCGGCACCTCGGAGCGATCCCTACAGGGAGGGTGGCGGGGAAACTGAGGCACGGGCCGGAGAGACGGGCTCGGCCACGCAGGGCCGCCCGCCCCGCTCTCCCGCACGCGAGCCTAGAGGGGGCGGTGCCGGGGGCCCGAGGCGACGCGGCCGGGGTCCCGGGGCCGCTCCGGCGCCTCACCTTCCGCACGCGCTTCTTCCGGATGCTCTCCACCGCGAACACCTGCTCACCGATGGCTGACAGCTCCATGCGGGGCGGCGGGCGAGCGGGCCCGGGGCCGGGCCGGGCCGGGGGCGGAGCTGCGGGGCCGCGGCTGCGGCGCGCGATGCTGGGGCCCGCGGGGTCCCCGTCACCCTCGGCCCGGCGCGCACGCGCACGCGCGCACACCCCCTCGCGCTGCCTCACGCCGCCGCCGACGTTCCATTTTTGAACCTGCGCAACGTTTTCCTCCGCGCCAGCGGGCGGGCGCGCGCGCGCGCACGGGGAGGGGGCGGGGCTCCGGCGGGGCGGGCGCGCGCCGGCGAGCTGGCCGTGGGGCCGCGCTCGAGCCCAGAGGGTCAGCCACGCCCCTCGGCGCTGTGACCACGCCCTCCGCGCCGGAGCCACGCCCCCAAGCCGTCCGGCGGATTCGGACGCGCGCTGCGCTGCCGGCCGGTTTTCTCGGTCCTCGCCCCGGCGGGACTTATTTGGTGCGGTGCGGCGGACCACGCGCTTCCTCCCGCGGCCCGATTCCTAGCCAGGACGTGATCTTTAAGAGCGAGGCTCCGGCCCTCAGTCCTTTCGAGGACCGACACCGGGCCGGGAGACAGCAACCGGGCAGGGGCGGGGAGGTCAAGGGCATCACCGTCCGTCCAGCCTCCAGCGGAGCGGGCCGGGCCGGGCTGCGGGAGGGCGGGGACCGCGGAGCCTTCCGCACCGCGGTGGTCCGGGCGTTGCGGGCACCGGAGATCAGGACTCCGGCGTCCGACCCTGGCCAGCTGCGCTGGGCCCGGGCGGGCCGTCCTTGGCCTCCCGCGCACTCTGGGCCGGTGCGGCGGACGCGCTCCGCCCCACAGGGGTTCTGATTTGTGGAATGAGGGGGTCTGGGGTCCGAGAAGCCCTCCTCACCTTCCTCCTTTTCCTTTCCTCTGCCGCGCCTCCACGCATCCTCACCAGGATCCCGGCCCCGCCGGCTGCGGCTTCCCTCGGGCGGAGACCCTGAGCGACCCCAGGTGCTGCCCCTCCCAGGGCTCCACACCCAGCCCGCCAAGTCCCGATCCCGCCTTCTCCCCCGCCGCCCCGGCCCAAGGTCGCCTGAGGATGCTCGAGGGTGCAGCCCTGGGGGCTGGGGCTGGGGGGGCGCCTGCCTGGCACGCACAGGCCCTGGGGCTGGGGCTGGGGGGGCACCTGCCTGGCACGCACAGGCCCTGGGGCTGGGGCTGGGGGGGCACCTGCCTGGCACACACAGGCCCTGGGCCTTGGGGTGCGGGGGGGGGGCGCCTGCCTGGCACGCACAGGCCCTGGGGCTGGGGGGAGCGCCTGCCTGGCACGCACAGACCCTGGGGCTGGGGGGGTGCGCCTGCCTGGCACGCACAGGCCCTGGGGCTGGGGGGGTGCGCCTGCCTGGCACGCACAGGCCCTGGGCCTTGAGGTGGGGGGGCACCTGCCTGGCACGCACAGGCCCTGGGTTGCATCGGCAAAATATATAGGTTTGAAAACAGTTTTAAGATGGGGACCAGACTGGGTAGCACCCCAATTTCTTTTTTAATTTTTTTTATTGTGAAAATACTGTACAGAAGGGTTACAATTACATGGGCAAGATAATGAGTACATTTCTTATCAAGCATTGTAGCTTCCTCCTTTGTTTCCCCTTCCCATCCTCACCCCCGCCTCAAGCACCCCAATTTCTTCCGGATAAAATCCAAACGATTGTTTGACACACAGGAAAAGAATGCTAGATATTTTTTTTTTGGTAATCAAGAGCAATAGATGGAAAGAAAATACCCTCCATCCTAGAACTAAATACCTTCCGAAAGGGAGGATGAATAAAGATGTTTGCAAACACAGACTCTAGGAATTTTCCCCTCTCGAGGGGAATTCCAGCCCGAGGAGTGGATTTAGGAAGGAGGAACTAAGACAATTGAGAGTTTGAAAATGAAACCATGTCTTGTAGGTAAAAATAAAAAAAGTTGCCCGAATGTGGGTCGTAAAACGGGGGTGAGTGTTGTTCAAGTGTTCCAAGGTCTTCTTCCGGAGGGAAGAAGAATGTGGAGTTGAAGGTCCGGGTTGCCGGCCCTCGGTAAACACTCCATGAATGGAAACTATTACTGGAGAAAATAGAATGAGAAAACCAAACAATCCAGGTGGAAGCAAGAAGGGAGGGGGGGAGGGAGAGGGAGGAGAGAGGAGAGAAAGAAAGAAAGGGAAAAAACCATGGTAAACCCAAATGTCTTCTGATTCTATAAATGCAAGTGGACCGGGTGTGTTAAAATACAAAAGTTGTCGGGTTGCCTAAGATCCATTCCCATTGCAATTTGCGAGAGACATAGGAAACACACTAAATGGTTGAAAGTCCTCCGCTGGAGGGAAATGCCATGCTAATAGTCACAAAAAGGTGGCAGAAAGAATTTCAATATGAAGGAAAACTCATCACAGAGACAAAGGGGGTATTTCATCATCGTGAAAGGGGTCTGATTAGCCAAAAAAGAACAATTCCAAATTTGTAAGAAAACACCAGTCCTTAAATACAAGAAATAGAAGAGAACTGTAATGAAAAAACAGACAAGTCTAAATTATAGTGGGAGATTTAAAGCACATCTTTCTATAATCAGTAAAATAAGCATACAGAAAATTCAGTAAAATACACAGGATTCCAACATGAATAAACTTGACTAATGATCTTTCCCAGAACAGTAGCTTGTACTTGTTTTCAAAAAAGTATTTCCCAAAAGAGTTCATCAGGAAATTTTAAGAAACCTCTAAATGTAGTACATGTAAACTCAAAATACAAGATAATTTCAACCATTGCTTATGTTTGGAAATTAAGAAGCTTATTTCTTTTTTAAATCTTTTATTTTTTTTTATAAAGGTGATGTACGGAGGAGTTACAGTTACATAAGTCAGGTAATGAGTACATTTCTTTTTGGACAAAGTCACCCCTTTCCTCTCAAGTACTTTCCCCTCTCTTCCCCACACACAAGTTATGCAGTATCTAGTGAGTACCACTTCTGCATTTGTTCACCTTAAGTCCCTCAGTTTCTGTGCCTCCCTCTTACTCTTCCAAAGACAGCTAAACAAAATACAAGACAAAAAGGAAAAGAAAAACAGCAACAAAGAAAAAACTTCTTGTTTCCATCTCCTAGAGTTCATTTCAATAAATATTATTTATAGGATCAGAAGCACACAGAAGTAGCATATTTCAAACTCATCAATCAAAAAGGCAGAAGTCATAGAAATTATAAAGTATGTTCACTGAGTGAGAATGAAAATATTGGATGTTTTTAAAGTGTTGGCTATTGCTAAGGTATTACTGAAATAGGACTTTTAATGCTTATTTTAGGAAAAAAGAAAAAACTGCAAATAATGACTGAGCACTGATTTTGAAAAGCTAGGAAAAGCTGGGCGCGGGTGGTTCATGCTTGTAATCCTAGCTACTCCAAGCTGAGATCTGATGATTGTGATTCAAAGCCAGCTGGGGCTAGAAAGTCCCTGAGACTCTTATCTCCAATTAACCACTAGAAAACTGGAAGTGATGCTGTGACTAGAGAGGTAGCCTTGAGTAAAAAGAGCTCAGGGACCGAACTCAGGCTGTGAGTTCAAGCCCCACAACTGACAGAAAAGAAGAAGAGGAGGAGGAGGCAGAAGCAGCTAGAAAAAGAACAGCAATTAAAATGGAAGAATAGAAGGCAAGAACACAGAATCAGCAAAAGCAAACAAGGCAAAGACCAATCGTGTGGACATGGAGATGTGGCTCAGTGGCTGAAGAGAGCCCAAGTTCAATCTCCAGTACCAGGATAGAGAGAGAGAGAGAGAGAGAGAGAGAGAGAGAGAGAGAGAGAAAAGGCAATAACTGATATGAATAGTATTGGCAAATACTAACTTAAGAAAAAAGAAGAAGCTGACTTAATGGTGAAGCCAGTCTCTGCCCTTAAAATCTTAACAGGCCAGGCACGGGTGGCTCCTGCCTATAATCCTAAAAAGCTGAGCTGTGAGGATGTTGGTTCAAGGTCAGCCCAGGCAGGAAAGTCTGTGAGATTCTTATCACCAATTAACCAACTCAAAACCAAAATTGGAGCAATGGTTCATAGCGGTAGAGTGCTACCCTTGAGTCAAAGGGCTCAGGGACAGCACCAGGCCCCGTGTTCAAGCCCCATGACCAACCAAAAAGAAAAAAGACACAACTCATAAATATCAGAAATGAAAAGCTCAAAAAACAGATTAAAAAAAAAAAGAAAACTATATTTTCATGTAACTATAACCCCTCTGTACAGCATCTTTACAATAAGACAATTTTTTTTTTTTAAAAAAAGAAAAGGGTATATTTGAAAATTTTTGGGGGGTGGGGGTGGGTTAGTCTTGGGGCTTGAATTCTAGGCCTGGGCCTTGTCCCTGAGCTCTTCAGCTCAAGGCAAACGCTTTACCAGTTGAGCCACAGCGCCACTTCGGGTTTTCTGGTGATTAGTTGGAGGTAAGAGTCTCAAGGCCTTTCCTTCCCAGGCTGGCTTTGAACCACAATCCTCAGATCTCAGCCTCCTGAGTAGCTAGGATGACAGATATGAGCCACCAGTGCCCGGCTTGAATAATTTGATTACTACAATTCCTTGAAAATCTAAATAAAACAGACAAATTTACCAACTCAACAGGAAGAGCAAATGTGAATGCTCATGGCCCCTGGTGGCATCTGGAAAGAGTGTGCGGGACCTGGTCACACCCCCACTTCCCGTGTTTCCTCCGCCAACCTTAGCACCCAACCAGAGGTGCTGGTGTGTCACACTCTGGAGCTTGGCTTACAAGGGAGAACTGAGGAGCCTGGGCAGCCCTGTAGGAATTGTGGCCCTTAAGGGCTTGAGCCGTGGCTCTGTACCAATGGACATGAAATTATCATAGTACTATTTTGCAATCTCAATCCCAAGTTCTGTGGCATCCACTGAACTTCAAACCACCTCATAATATTAAAGATGGACCATCAAAGAAAGCTCAGATTCCAGGACTCTGCTAACTGAGCACTTATTCTCTCTCTGGATATATATATATATATATATATATATATAATCAAGCTAGTTTCTCAGGTCTATAATACTAATGACCCGGGGGGCTGAAATTTTAGGATTGAGATTAAAAGCCAGACCAGAAAGATGCATGCCATCCGAATGAGCAAAATGCTAGACTGAAGGCATGGCTCATATAGTAGACAGAGCCCCAGCTTTGAGCAAAAAAAGCCAAGCAAGAACACAAATCCCTG